GAGAAGCATTCAACAAGAATCCTTGCCAGTCGTTAACAATATCTTTGTTATGTTAGTGTAGTAGTAATAGAAAAGGTCCTGAATAGTTAAAGAGTCGAAATCAAACAAGTTTATATATGGTGTTCCATTTGAACTGTACATTAGATGTATCTAAGAATAAAGTCTAGTATGTGTTGTTCTTATTTAGGGCATGGATCCAACAAGTTTCACTCAGCCACTGGGTGTGAATCCTGAGCCGATTGATGAATCTATACTTTGGGGAGAAGGTGAACCCCGTGCTCGGCGTGTATGGCTTGATCAGGTTTGTTTTTTATGGTCGAGTTGTTAAATACTAGCTTGCTTTTGTTTACATGTGAAAAGAGAGGAATTAGATATCTAAACTGTTACTTTCATTGTCTTTATGTATGTCCGGAAGCTGTGAAGTTTTCATTTGCGTAGTCAGAAGCCGAATCCATTGGAAGTTCCATTTCCTATGGTGGATCTGTTAGTCAAGGTGAGGGTGTCACTCCTTGTCCATCTGGTCAATTTGGTACTCAAAGCTACGCTGCGACCTATAATACTATGCAGTACGATAGTGGTGCTAGCGGTAGTGGTTTAGGTTTTGCTGGATTTGGTACTACATACACAAACAGAAGATTTGGAGGCTATAACACTCCTACCACGCAACAACTTTCATAACAGGAAGCAGTCAGACAATCATCAGCTGTTGATTTTGACGATGACGACGTTATGCCTGCCCTAGTTTGCCCATGTGAACGAGGTTGTGGTCCAACGAGGGATGCATGGGCGAACGTCGAGGGACACCATCAGTATGGCTTACGTAATCGAGCTACTATCCCGCTCACTCTTTGTCGCTCTAGTGGGCGCCATCCACTTCGAGACGACCATCATTAGTTATGGATGTTTGTGGTTTCTTTTCTATTTTATTGAGACACTTTAGCATTTAACGACAATGTATTCTTATTAGTTAAACTTTGGTTTTTTAACAACATTAGTTAAACTTTAGTGGTGGTTGTTTAACCTCCAAAATCTAGTGGTCGTTTAACATAGTTTTACATAATATTTATAACATCCAACGTCATGGTTATTACCAAAAATATTTAGAATTACAATAAGTTTATAACGTCCAACTTAGATTAGTTTAATCAACATGACTCCTTTAAGCTAAGGGTGGGCATACGGTTTGGTAAACCCAAACTGAATCGAACCAAAACTGATTTAAACCAAACCAAAACTGAATTATTGCTATTTGGTTCGGAATTCGGAAGGAAACCATGTCAACTTCGGAAACCAGGGTTCTTTAGACCGAACCGAGGTTCCAAATTTTGAACTGAAAAACCAAATTGTTGCTGCCCCAGCCAAATAACCATCCTAGCCCAGTCTCTACACAGCCCACACACTACCAGCCCACTCTCTCACAACCCTAAACCCACTCCCCGACCCCAACAACCATACTCCATATACAACAACCGTCAAAGGGCGCCCGCCGCAACCCATTCACATTCTCCTACCCGATTGGTGGCGGGGGAGCTATTGTCTGATCTCCCCTCTCCCCGTTCTCTTCTCCTCGCCCTATGCCTACCATTTAAACCAAGAAAATCAACCAAATGAGGAAATCTCAGGCTAGCAAAGTCTATAAAACCAAAATCTAAACATAAAAACCGACATGCATCAAAAGAGAAAAGGAATAGGCCGAGAGGAAGAGAAGGTAGATTAGTGGAAGTGCAAGGATCTTCGGCGGAGAACACATATCTTGGCCTTGGGAGGGATCCTTGGCGGTGGGGGAGCTTTCCTCCTCTTCAATGGTGCCGCCGGCGACCACATGTAGGCGATGCTACCGCCGTTGTCGCCTGTCGCTATTGCTGTCGCCACGTTGTTATTAGTATCTTCGTCAACATCACGACGTTAGTTTTCGTTGTCGTACCATCGTTATCTCGGTCAATCATCGTTGCCATTGTTGTTCCCGCCGCATCGTTATCGGAGGAGAACACTATAGAGAGAAGGTGGGGAGGGATTTTAATCTGGGGCTCAAAGTCTGCGAGATAGAGTAAAATAGGAAAGGGTATTTGTCTTTTAGTTTTTTGGGTTTGAGCCTTGAAAGCAGACCACACCGAAATATAATTCGTTTCAGATGAACCGAAGCGAATTATGAAATTTCTTTGGAGAATGAAGTTATGAGAGTAGAATTTTCTCTCTTCCACCGCCTATATATTCAATGATCAAATAAATGGTCAAAGAAAAAAGAGAAATCTATCTCTGCAAAGCAAAACGAATCAGATTCCCAAGCTCAGTCAACAGACAAAATAGGAAACTAACATTTGCGCCCAAATGAGTGTGACATCTCTCAAAGCCAAGCACATTTGAAAATTATGGTTCGGCCGGGCAACTCGACTGCAAAACGAAGAAAAAGCAAATCGGCATAAAATTATGGGTGATGAAGCCTATTTTTTGGGGTTGATGCCAAGTTTTTGGCTGCATCGTCTATAGTTGGGCTCAACCAACTAGATTTGTAAATATTTTGATTTGCCGGTTAGAATTTGATATATTTATTATTACCGATTATTTATGTAAATTTGCCCCATAATGCTTACCATTTTTTTCAATTCCAATATTTTTATGATTTGGGTTACAATACAAAACTCACACTCACAAAACTTTGATCATATCACTATGTTCGTCTAAGTATAATATGATTTCTTACGGTATAGTCTCCTACACCGCTCCCTTCAAATCTCACGTATCACCAAGCACCATATGAGTCTACCAGGTTAAAAGTGTTGCAGCTTTCTAACAGCAGTTTAAACTCCCTTCTTACCATGAACCACAAGCCATATACTGCCAGCTTGAGGGAAAGACAGTCATGCATACCTGTTGAATGAGCAGACAGTGAAAGAAAATGTGATCTCTTGTTTCCTCAGCAGCTTGACAAAGAACACACCTTATGTCAACTTTAGGGGACCAACGCTTGACTTTTTGCAAAGTATTAATTCTGTCCAGGAGGATTAACCATGCTAGAAGAGAGTTTTTTGGAATGATTGGCCCTTTCCAAAGTAACAAAGACTAGGAGACCTTGTCTTGTCTAGGTCTGATACTCTCGTAACCCTAATTTACTTTATACACATTCATCATCTTACCATCCCATTCAATCCCTGGGTTGTTATTCATCATTTTGTATGCAGTGAGATATCCGAGCTTTAGGATCTTGGACCATACCCAGGACCCCTCCTACTTGTGTGTCCCAAATACTTAGGTTTCGCAGTCTGTACTCCTTGATCCAAGCAGTCCACATGGTTTGCTGATCAGCTACAATAGCCCATATATGGCGCAGCAAACAGGCCTTCTCCAACTATGCATGTCTGTAAACCCCAGTCCACCTTCTGTTCTAGGTAGGGAAACCATCTTCCAAGATACTTTGGCCTTTTCTTAGAATCAATTTCACTCCATAGGAACTTAGAACACAATGTTTCCACTTCTCTTGTTATAAATGTGCTGCTACGGATCGAGAAATCGCAGGAATCGATAAAGCAAGAATACGAAAGCGAGAATCGAAAAACACAAACACACGATTTACGTGGTTCACTAACACGATTTGTGTTAGCTAGGTCCACGGGCGAGAGAGAGCCAGTTTCACTATATATTGAGGAGATTACAGATTACAGAGGAGTATGAGAAGTATTTATAGTACTTCTCCACGTGGGTCTAAACCTAATCCAATCTGGCAAAGGAAACGGTTACAGACCAGGCCCAGAACCCGAACCCAAATAACAGCGAGACCCCCGATTACCAGTCGTAGCGGCTGATAGTCCGATTCAAGTCACATCAACATCTCTAATGACTTTCTTTGGCAGCTGGATGATTGTCATCCAGTAATGTGTCAGACTAGCCATGACAGAGATAGCGAGCTCAAGTTTCCCATCACAAGAAAGCAAATCCGTTCTTCATCCCTTAATTCTCTTTGTGATTCGATCAAATAAAACCCTACAATCTGCAGAAGAAAGTTTGCCAGCCATAACAGATATCTAACCTGCAGAAAAACCTCATGAAACGAGATGTCGTGGAGGCTTAGGGAGGTGCTGCTATACCTTGTTTCGAACAATCCGCAAGTGTCCGTTAAGGGCAGACAAATATCTGAGGCGACTTTAATTGCTAATGAGGTGGTTGATGGTATAAGGAGGAGCACGAAACCGTGTTTCTTGTTCAAGCTCGATATATAAAAAGCCTCCCACAATGTTAACTGGGGTGCCTCGCCAAGATTTTGGCCAATTTCGGCTTTCCCCTTTCGTGGCAGCAATGGGACGGGGAGCTATGTGCTCACCTAACATTTTTATTCTTGTTAATGGCGAATCAACAGGGTTCTTCTCTCCCTAGAAGGGTCTCAGGAAGGGAGACCCACTCTCCCCAGCTCTCTTAGTTCTCGTCATGGATATCCTTTCTTTCTTGCCCAAAAAGCTCAAAGAGGGAGACGACATCAAGGGCTTATATATGGATGAAGAACACTATAGAGGCGAAGTTACACACTTACTTTTTTGCTGACGACACACTTGATAAAGCAGCAGGGGGGTGCTTTTGATCAGAATACGCAGCAAACCAAACTTCTCGAACGATAAGTGATGGATATGTAGAATTTCACCACAATCAAGGTGATTACTTGATTGATAAGAAACTTGTAAAACGAATCTGGAATCCTCACAGAAAATCTTGACAAGGGTTCTCGAATTAGCAATGGAAGCCACACAAAACTAACTCAAGGGTTTGATTCTTGAGAACTCTCAAAGAACACAATTCTCACAAAGGAGCAATTTTCATTCAACTAAACTTGGATCATTTACAACGTGAGAATGAAAGCTATTTAAAGACAATAAAAAACCTAATACAAACCTAATAGAACTAGGAAACAATTATGGTAAAACAAACTCTAAAAAGGCTCAAAATTCGGCCATAAACTTCCTTTCTTGACGCATAAGTAAGCTGCCAGCGAAACAGTCAAAAGCAGCTTTCGTACTAACTTTACGCCTTTCTTTCGAGGCCTTACGGAACTCCAATACTTCATCCAACTCCTTCCCTTGGTATATAAAAATTCCTACTTTCATGTTGTGGAAGCATTTTGACTTGAATTCCATCCATGCTCCTTGAATTGAGCTTCAAAGTAGGCTTCACAAAACAGTTTTCTGCCTTGGCCATTTTCTGGCAGTTTTCCAGTTTTGAGGTAGCAACTTTGAGGCCTTAAAAAACAACCTTAATGACATCATCTGAATTCACAAAGAATACCATTGGAAAGATGGAAACTTTATCTGCAAACAAAACCCTTAAACTTGCATTTACACTAAGCCAATTGAGAAAACCATGCCTCCAAACTAGGTACCGTGAACACGGATTTTGACATAGCCAAATTCTACCCTTCTTCTTCCCAACTTCGATAGCTTCTTCGTCAAGTAATTTAAACGTTTGGAATGAACCATTTGGGATCATATCAGGCCCTCCCTCTTGAAAAAGTGTTTCCCTCAACAGTTTGGCCTTTCGTTGCTCAAACCGTTCACAGAATTGATCCCAAATTGGATCGAAAGAAGGCTTCTCAAACAACGTTTTTGGCATAAACTTGGCACCTTCAAATCCTTCTTCAACATGTTTCAGCAATGTTGTAGGACTCCAAAGGACCATTCTACGCAAAAATCGAAGCCACTAGGACCCGGAATCGAAGTTTGCAGTTTTACAGCTTCCGGTCACAAAAACCCAGATTCCGTCGAGTTCGAATTTGCCGGCGAGTTCTTCGAATTTGGGTGTTTCTGCTCCAGGCCATCTCGCTTCAATTCAAGACTTCCATAGTGTTCGCCATGATCCCATGAATTGAACTCGTCCAATTCCAAGCTTCGACCCTGTACAAAACGTCGTCAATTGCAATGCCCATTTTTCCCGCTACCGGAGGATTCAAATTTCCCAGAATCCGGCGACCGATTTGCAGATTCCGACGAAGCTAATTTCAAATTGGCCGTTTTTTATTCTGCCATCGCCACGACCAGTTGATCGTTCCTACATTTTCCCTTGACCTCCGTGAATGATTCTACATTGCCAATTTGCCTCGAATTACTCTCAAACGCCACTACTGATTCTCCCTTTTTTGTCTTCATTGTTCTTCACGAACAGAGGTGTTTTCGAGCAGATCGATTCCACCAAATCAGGTGTGTTCGACTCCACTAATTGTACTTGTGATGTTTCTGGGGTACTAGGGATCACGTCGGCACCGTCGATGAGTTTTGACTCTTCACCAGTTGTTCCCGCCAATTCGTTCTCTCTCCTCCTCTGTTTTGTCAGAGAATTGGAACGCTCTGCTGCTCGCGTCACCAAATCGATTGGTGCATCGGCAGTTGGCTCTGGAACTTCTCCTTGCGCCACATTCCTTCCTTCAAACTCCTAGGACGTGTTGCTGGCCACGTCGGACAACGACTCTCCTCCTTCATCGTTGGAGAAGCTACGGGACGCGGCACTCTATTTCGCAGAAGGAAAACAGGGGTGTTCTCCCTGAATGAAAGTCGATGTTTCAACTTGAATTGAGTCGCTCTGTTGCAGAGAATCAACTCCTGGGTTTTCGACAAAACGCTCGGATGGATTGTATTCTCGCAACCCTCCCCCCATGCCTTTGTCCGATTCATTCTCTTCTCCGCTCTGCTCTATCGTTGAGGAACATAATTCTTCGGCTCTGATCGGCGTTTTGGCTGGATAGACTTCCCAAGACCACGACTTCGACAACAAGTCCTGCTGGTACTCCTCCTGGAGTCTGTGTAGCTCATTCAAATCGTCGGCAACTGCTTCTGAAGATAAAGGGTTCACGACGAACACCTTGTTTCGAATCTGAATTCGAAACTTCCTCCTCCGTCGACTTGAAAAACGAACCTGCCGCTTACTGAACCATGGCTGACCCAATACGAGGCTGTTGGGGAGATTGAAAACCACATCGCACAGGATTTTATCATTGTATTGGCCAATCAAAAATTCCACGACCACCTGAGACACTACGATGCTGGATTTAATTTCGTACGGTGATTGAAAGATGTAGGGAGCTGGATGAGGCTGTGATTGTAATCCCAGCTTGCTCACGACCCTGCTGGCAATTAAGTTCTTATCCCTGCCTCCATCGATGAGTACCAAACCCAACTGATCATTGAGTAATCCTCGTGTGAAGATCATCGATTCTGCCAGCTCTTCTGCCGCCATGTTGCTCTGTTTTTGCGGCTGAAATTGCACACAAAAACAACCTTAATCAATCCTTCTTTGCCCTGACTTGAACGGGGCTATGATACCACTTGATAAAGCACGAGGGGGGGGGGTGCTTTTGATCAGAATATGCAGCAAACCAAACTTCTCGAACGATAAGTGATAGGTAGAATTTTGCCACAATCAAGGTGATTACTTGATTGATAAGAAACTTGTAAAACGAATCTGGAATCCTCACAAAAAATCTTGACAAGGGTTCTTGAATTAGCAATGGAATCCACACAAAACTAACTCAAGAGTTTGATTCTTGAGAACTTCAAAGAACACAATTCTCACAAAGGAGCAATTTTCATTCAACTAAACTTGGATCATTTACAACGTGAGAATGAAAGCTATTTAAAGACAATAAAAAACCTAATACAAACCTAATAGAACTAGGAAACAATTATGGTAAAAACAAACTCTAAAAAGGCTCAAAATTAGGCCATAAACTTCCTTTCTTGACGCACAAGTAAGCTGCCAGCAAAACAGTCAAAAGCAGCTTTCGTACTAACTTTATGCCTTTCGTTCGAGGCCTTACAGAACTCCAATCCTTCATCCAATTCCTTCCCTTGGTATATAAACATTCCTACTTTCATGTTGTAGAATCCTTTTGACTTGAATCCCATCCATGCTCCTTGAATTGAGCTTCAAAGTAGGCTTCACAAAACAGTTTTCTGCCTTGGCCATTTTCTGGCAGTTTTCCAGTTTTGAGGTAGCAACTTTGAGGCCTTGGAAAACAACCTTAATGACATCATCTGAATTCACAAAGCATACCATTGGAAAGATGGAAACTTTATCTGCAAAAAAAAAACCCCTTAAACTTGCATTTCCACTAAGACAATTGAGAGAACCATGCTTCCTAAGTAGGTACCCTGAACACAGATTTTGACTTGGCCAAATTCTGCCCTTCTTCTTCCCAACTTCAATAGCTTCTTCGTCAAGTAATTTGAACGTGTAGAATGAAGGGATCATATCAGGCTTGCTTTGTGGGGAGTTGATGATTATTTGGTGGATGAGTAATTAAATGTCTGGCACATGAAGTGACGTGGAGGATTTACATGGAATTGGTGGAGGTTAATTAATTGGAGGCATGGGAAGCTAGCTTGGACGTGGTACATGGAGAAGAAGTCCCATTCACAAAAGGAAGAAGCAATGCCTCGCATGAAGAACGAAATTTCAATTCCGCTAAGGAAAAGGAAGACCATGTGCGCGCGACAGCAGGCCAGCTGCAGCGTTTGTTGCAATATGAGTTTAGTTTTGTTTATTTTATTTATTTAAGTAGTATTATGTTTCCTAGTTAGTTTGGGATTTGTTTTCCTATTTCTTTTAGGTTAGTTTTATGTTTTTGAGACCTCTATAAATAGAGGGTGTAAGACCTACGAATTTTGTACCCAATATTCAAGTTATCATTCAAAGTTGAGTTCAAGTTCACTGCGAACGAGTTCTTTTGTGCAAGACTTCTGTCGAGGATTCCAGGAGATTGTACGTGTCTCCTATCAACTAGAGAACGCGTCTAGTTGTGGCGAGCATCTACCCTATATCAATTGCCCATTTCCACGAGTTGATTCTGTCTGATTGGTTTAATATACCAATTGCGCTTTGTCACGAGTTGGGATTGTCCGATTGATTCCACATCTATCTTTTATTTCAAGTTGGAGAAAAGCTTCGAAAATGCTTAAAAAGAAGGATGCTGCGTACTTTGGTCATATCATCCGGGTTCGAGGGTTCTCTTCGGATTTGGATCACATCAAAGCCACCAATAATTCACGTGGATTGTTGGCAGCCGCTATTAATATTGTGACCCGTAGTTGGTCCATTAAAAATGCTCCCAATTGATATTTAAATCGACGAACCTGAATCTTCATTTTTGGTCCACGGGTATTAAATATCGTGCTAGTCAACATCGCATCAACACTTATATTTTGTGATGCTTCTGTTGAGCAAGTGTTGAATATCTTGGCTACCCTGATATGTTTTTAAGCCGCGACTGGATTAAAAATTAATCTTGAGAAGACGATAATGTTTACAGTCGGCGACGTTCCAGAACCAAGTTGTTATGCTTCTATTTTTTGCTGCAAATGGAGTTCCGATATCTCAAAGTATCTAGGATTGCCTCTACGTGCTAAGCCAAATGCGAATTCTATATGAGAGCCAATCTACTATTGCTCCTTGTTCAAGGCTCCGAGATCAGTTGTTGCGGAGCTGGAAAGAATTCAGAAACGCTTCATCTGGTGTGGCAGTGAACAGAAAAGGAAGATTCATCTGGTTCATAGGGACTTATGAAAAGTTCCTAAGAAGTGTGGTGGCCTTGGAATCCTTGATATTACTTGCATGAATAAAGATCTTCTTGGTAAATGGTTATGGAGATTTGGAACTGAAACAGAGAGTCAGAGACGAAAGTTGATTGAAGTAAAATACCCTAACTTAGAATCTATGTGGAGGACAAAATGTGCCATCTCAGGTGTTTACAGGTCTGTCTGGGCTAATATTTCTAGGGAGAATGAGACGTTTTGGAAATGGGCATATGTGGAACCAGGCGGTGGTGCTTGGGTGTCATTTTGGCATGATTGTTGGATCCCTAGAGGCACTCTTGTTAATTCCTTCCCTTGCGTTGTTGCTGCTTCCTTGAATCCTACAGGTCAGATCTTTGAATTTATCTATTTTTCTAGTGAGGTAGTGAGGTGGGCGGTTCCTTTAACTATCAACTTGAGAGGGAGGCAGAGAGAGAGGGTATCATTTTTTCATAAACTCAATAGCATTGATGCTAATATGGTTACTTGTGGCCCAAGTAGATTGTGGTGGTCTCCTTCTCATGAAACCAAGTTCTCGATTCACTCTTATTGCAAGTATTTGCAGGAAGAAGAGTTCCCCGACGATCATCATTTCCCCATCTTTCTATGTGGAAGATTGTCATTCCTCATAAAGTGTACTTCTTTGTTTGGCTAGTGTACTATAAGAGAATTTCGAGGTTGGACAACTTGAACAGATGTGAGTTATGCTGGTGTGAGGAGGAGATGGCAAACCATCTTTTCATTGACTGCAAGTTTGTTCATGAAGTTTGGATTAGAGTTAGTAGCTATGACAGAACATTGACAGCCCACGTTGGAGATAACTCGGACGTTATCAAGCAGTGGCCGAATAGTAGAGGCGGGAGCTTCGATGATTGGTTTCATTATTGTCTTCTCCATGAACTGTGTTGGGGCGTGTGGCTTAAAAGAAACCGCCGAATCTTTAAGAAAGCTAGCCTCCCACCTGCTCTCATTTCTCATTGTATTATGAGAACTTTGATTGAATGGGTTGTTGCTCATGGAAAGGTTGAGAGGGTGATAGGTTTTCAATGGTTGAGAGAGAGAATGTGACAGAAGTCGTCGCCGATGCTTGGTTCAGACGTTGGACTACTGCTGTTGGATTTTGATCATGTACGAAGATTGGATACTTTGTGGTTGTGTTGCCTACCTTTGCTGCTATTTGGGTTCGGGTTTGTTATTGTGATGCTTGTTTCAGATTGTAGACTTTGATATAATCTTTCTCTGGTTGTGTTTCTTTTGTTGTTTGGAGCAGGGGGTCAATCTCGTTGGCCTAGCTATCCTTTTCATTTTGTTTGGCATATGCTATGTTCTTTGTTTTTTCTTTTCGTTTCCCTGGCTAGTGTGCACTCCTTGTGCTGCCATGCCATTGTATTGACTTTTGATTTTGTTGGTTCTTTTTAATGCTATTCTCACCATCATAAAAAAACCTCTTAAAATCCAGAGCACTCCACTATTTCTTTTCTCAATTCACTTGAAATACCCGCACAGAAGACCTCACTCTTACTAGGGTTGCATTTTAATCCAGAAACTTAAAAAAAATGTTGTAAAATCTCATACACAACCTGGACTCCTTCAATTGATTCTTTGGTGAAAATAAGCAAGTCATCCGCGAAGCACAAATGTGTAAGACTTACTCTGTGACATTGTGGGTGATATGGTAATATAGAATTTGCACTTACCCTATTCAACATACAAATAAGTACTTCCATTGATATAACAAATAGATAAGGAGACAAGGGGCAGCCTTTCTTGAGCCCCTTCTTTACTTGAAAATTACCCACCAGTCCCCCATTTAAACATACTGAGAATCCTGTAGTAGATAAGCAAGAGAAGGTATAGTCCACAAACTTCTTGGGAAACCCCATAGCTTGCATCACCATACTTAGAAAATTCCAATCAACACCATCAAATGCCTTCATTATGTCAACTTTGAGTGCACACCTAGGGGATAAATTATGCCTTCTATACCATTTTATCATCTCGTGTTATAGGATAGTATTGTCACTAATCAGTCTTTATTTGATGAAGGCTGACTGATTAGGGCTTATGACTAGATGCAGCACATCTCGAAGTCTAAGGGCTAGGATTTCATATATGCATTTATAGAACAGGCTGCAACAACAAATAGGTATAAATTGCTTCATGGTGTCAGCATTAGGTATTTTTGGGATCAATGTAAGGATAGTACGATTGACCTCTCTAAGTATCTTGCTAGTTGTAAAAAACTCTTGTACTGCCAGAGTAACTTGTGTTCCAATGAGCTGCAGTGGTGCTGATAAAATCAAGCTCTGTAGCTGATAGACTAATAATTACACATGTTTTTACCCCTATTCTTGAGCCGTTTGAGAGGTTGACTCTCGTGTTTTAAGCTGATTTCACGCGAGGTTGTGTGTTTATGTCATATTTCAGGACCCGACGTTGGAATCGAGGCGAGGAAATGAGTTTTGGGTCGAAAGGAGCGAAGTTGGGTCGAAGTGTGCTGCAGGAGGAAAACACCCGGTCGTGGGCTCAAATACCCGACCGGGTATTTATTGTTTTGGCACCCGTGAGAAACAGAGGGGGCCCGGGCAGGAGCCAAAAACCCCCGGTCGGGGATTCTTGTGACAGACCGGGGATTTTTCCCTGAGGCAAAACGTGCGTTTCAATTATACCTGGTCGAGAGCCAAAATACCCGACCGGGTATTTCAACCGGGTATCGCGACAGGCAGCAGTTTTAACGGAAAAGAAGGCCAAAATTCAAGGGTTCCGAGTTGGAGAGAGACAAAGCGATTCCTAGAGAGAGAAAGCAACGAACCAGAGTTCCCAAGTGCCATTGCTTGATCTTCATCACCATTGGAGCCCGGCTTGAGCTTGGAGAAGTGCCGATTGACAACCAGGAGCAGAAACTCATCCTTCACAGTATGATTTCCGCTTCTGAATCTGCTTTTGCTTCTATCTCCATGGAGTAGTTTTCCCATTCATCTGGGTATGGAGAACCCTAGATTTGTATGTTAGGTCTGATTGTATGAACCCAAGTACAGATTTCATGAGTTGATTATATTCGATTGAGGATTGAATGATTGAATGACTTGAATCCTGATCAAATTCCTATTGTTTCTGCTTTAACCTAGAATGAGAATATCTTCCTAGGTTGATAGATCACCCTTAATTGAAGGTGGCGAATTGGTGACTTTAGTCGAGGAGCCAATTCGCTATTCTGTACCGAATTCAATTCGGTAGTGGAGGTTTGGTTCGTTAGGGCCTCAATCTGTTTACTCCGGTGGAGGTTAGTCGCCCGCTGGAGACTCAGATTGAGAGGGTCTAAAGACCTTTAGTCGAGACTTCAGACTGTTTAAGAATCTTCCGCAGTATAACTTTCATGGAAACTGAACTTGGTACATTGCAATCCGGCTTAACTACAATTTAGGGGGAACCATATCCGGGTGACCTCTCTCGACTTGAAAACAACCGTTTAACTTGCTTTGTTTGTTTGTTAATTTGGACCTGCACTAAAGTTTCATTGCTAGATAACAAGAATTCACCGAGTAGTCATCAAATCTAGGACCCGGGTTGACATTAAAACCTAAACCCGCTATACTACGCTTTAGGAAGTGGTTTCACATGGCCATTTTCTAGAGTGGCAGTAGGAGTGAGTTAGTAGCCATCTGGACCAGGGGCTTTTTATGCCTTTATAACAAAGACAACTCTTTGCACTTCCTCATCTGTAACTGGGGAGCATAACCCTAACATATCCTCTGGCAAAATGATGTACTAGCAGCCTCTTGATCTGATCGACAGAGACTGGCTTGACTACATGATCTTTCTTAATAAAGAGCTGCTCATAGAACTTCACTGCTTCTTTCCCCATATCATCTATATCTTTCAGTACCTTGCCTTCCACAGTAATCATTTGTCGTATAGTATTTCTCCAGTTCCTGGTCTTCACCATTGAGTGGAAGTACTTTGAATTTGTGTCCCCACATCTGCCTTGAATTTTGTTTTAAACATTTCTCTTCATCCTGCTATAGTTCAAGAAGCTGGA